TACGAGTGAGAGTGACATCTCTGCAGAGAAAGTAGAGTCCTATGTATGAGCTTTTCAAAGGACCACATTGACATTCGAGGCTGGGAGATGTTGAAAGGGTAGCTCATATGTCCATTGTCCCTCTTAGAGCAGTGGTTTACCAAGTAAAGCTACAAATGCATTGTTTCTCACAGGCTAAATGCACTCAAATACATTGAGGTAACTGGAAAATCTCTGCATTGATGAGTTCTAGATTAAAACAGGTCACAAGAAGTTTGTATCTTCATTCTGTGTCTGTGTCTGGGTTTGGGTTTCTTACTGGTAGCATGAGCGATGTTTGAAGGGAATACCCCTTGTCTCCCAGTAGCCATCCCTGAATAGGCCAAGGATTTGGGAAGAAACATAGAAAATAGGAGCAACAGTAGGCCATTCAGCCCTTCAACCCTTCAGTACAGTCATGGCTGATAATCTAACTCGGTACCCCGTTCCTGCTTTCTCTCCATATCCTTTGATCCCTTTCACACTAAAAACTATATCTAACTGTTTCTTGGAAACATGCAGTGTTTTGGACTCAATGCTTTCAGTGGCAGAGAATTCCACAGGTTCACCACTCTCTAGGAGAAGAAATGTCTCCTCATCTCAATCCCAATTGGCTTACCCCATATCCCTAGACTGTGACCCTTGATTCCAGACTCCCCGGTCATTGGGAACATCGTTCCTATGTTTAACCTGTCGAGACTTGCTAGAAATGTACAGGTTGCTATGAGTTCCCTCCTCATTCTTCTAAACTCCAGTGAATATAATCATAACTGATCTCTTTCTTCATACATCAATCCTACCATCCCAGGAATCAGTCTGGTACACTCCCTCCATAGCCAGGACATATTTCCTCAGATAGGGAGACCAAAGCTGCACAACAGTGACATCCCTGCTCCTGTAACCAAATCCTCTTGCTACGAAATAAAATATTCTATTTGTCTTCTTTGCTGGCAGCTGTACCTGCCTGCTTACTTTCAGTGACTGGTGTACAAGGACTGGTGTGTTTGCACCTCACCCTTTCCCAACATATTGCCATCCAGATAATAATCCACCTGCCTATTTTCGCTCCTAAAGCGGATAACATCACATTTATTCACATTTTACTTCATCTGTCATGCATTTGCCCACTCACTCAACTTGTCCAAATCACAATGAAACATTTCTGCAACTTCCCCATTGTTCACCCTCCAACGCAGCTTTGGATCATCTGAGGGATTAGAATGGGTGGCGACTTTGTTCAATTGATACAGACATGATGGGCTATGTAGCTTCTTTCTGTTTGATAACATTTCTCTCTCCATGTCAGTACACTACTGCCAATCCCATGCACTTTAATTTTATATGTACATGGAAGAGAAAGGAACCTGTGAGCTCTCTCTTACATAAGCGTCACACAGTTCCCAGGGTATCTCGTGCAGACCTCTGAGAAGTGCCTCAGTTGGTCACAATTCCGCAAGAGAAAAGAACTGTTTCTTGTTCACAAACACCCCAAAATGGTGATAGGACATTCAAAACTACCTGGGTGCAATTGATGGCAGCTTTTACCCAGGGGAAGCCAGCAATGCTGGAACATCCCCGTGCTGTAGCAATTTCTCTATCATCATCAAGGGGAAGAATATGAAGAAGTAGGGTCTGGTAAAAGTGGCATCAGTAACAAGATTTACATGCACTTGGAAAGGCAAGGACTGATCAGGGATGGTCAACACGGCTTTGTGCATGGGAAATCGTGTCTCACTAATTTGATTGAGTGTTTTTGAAGAGGTAGCAAAGGAGATCGATGAAGGCAGAATGGTAAATTTTGACTATATGGACTTCAGCTGTTGCTTCATGAAATGAATCGCTAACAAACAAATTAAGGGCAGCCGTGAGTTTGGTGGTCTCCAGGATGAGGTTGCCATTCAGCCCTTGTGAGTGCAAATCCATCTCCAGTTTCTTCTGAGTAACAGCCAGGTCACCAGGAAGACAGGCAAGGTCTTGGATATTTCAGCTCCATCAGCAGATAAGCTGTGGGGAAAGTCAGAAAGATGACACAGTGTTATTGAAGGAACGTGTGAGCACTCATGTCCTTAAAAATCCAGCTGAATACTATGCCCTCGCATAGCGTGGCATGGAAGTCTGAGTAAGATGCTCCAAAGTATGTGTCCTTATCCAACTGAATGATGGGCAACCAAGGAGTGTCTCTGCTCCAGTGGGAATAGACTTCTGCCAGTAAACCACCCCATGAAGGGTACCTACCTTACCCCCGAACAATGTTATTTCCATATCCCAGGCCATTTCTTGCATACTTTATATTTGGAGAGGGCAAACAAAGAATGGGAATACACAATGATTGAGAGGGTATTGAGAGGAGTAGAGGAATGAGAGAATTAGGAGTGCATTTTCATAGGTCCCTGAAGGTGACAGATCAGATAGGTCACGTGATAAAGAAAACATATGGGACACTATTCCTCAATAGGTGAGATATTGAATACAAAAGTAGTGATGCACTGCAAGAATTAAATAAGAAACTGAGTAGAACACAGCTATAGTTTAGTGTACCATTCTGGCACCACATTACAGGAAGGAGAGAGTACAGAGCAGATTTACAAGATGGTCCCAGGGCATGAAAATGGCAGGTATGAGGAAAGATTGGATCGGCTGGAGTTGTTTTCCTTATAACGGAAAAGGTTGCCTTCATTGATGTGAACAAAATATTGAAGTTTGAGGACAGAGTGGACAGGGAAGACCTGCTCCTCCTAACACAGAGGCCAATTGCAAGGAGGCATGGATTTAAGGCGATTAGTCAAAGAATTAGAGGGGACGTGAAGACAAATATTTTCACCCAGCGGGTGGTATTTGTCTGGAATTCACATCCTAGTTTGGTGGTTGATGCAGATCCCCTCAAATCTTTGAAAGGAACCTGGATCTGTGCCTGAAACCCTGCAACCTACAAGGCTGCAGAGCAGATGTTGAAAAGTGGGATGAGAATAAGTGGCTGGTTTATTCAATTGGTGCAGGCATGATGGACCCGAATGGGTCCTTTCTGTGCTGTAACTTCTCTGTGGTTCAATGGTTAATTTTGAGGGTTGGGGAATTAATGAGCTATAAATACAAGGAAATTAGCTTGTTGCCATCTGAGGGAGAGACTATGAACTCACGATCAAAGGCTTAATATTGCCATTGGGAATCTGAATATATGACTCGTGCCCAATTAAGTGCTTGCACTAGCTACTAATCCCACTTCACCAGGGCTGGAAAAATTCTGTCCACTGACTCTCAAGGTTAATCAGGCATGAGTTGCCTTCAATAAATCCATGCTGGTTTACCAGCCCTCAGGATTGGCTTGGAATCTCCAAGAATTGAGGATCAATCTTCAGGTTTCTGCTGCTTGCAACCCTGGAGAAAAGTCACAGAGACATCACAAAAAAAATCTGTAATTTTCTTTAAAAACCAAAAGACCAAATCACCTACCATTCCACCAGCATCCACATCCAGAAGATCATCAGACGCCATTTCCGCCACCTCCAGCAAGATGCCACCACCAGACACATATTCCCCTCCCCTCTCTTGTCTGCCTTCCGCAGGGACTGTTCCCTCCGGGACACCCTGGTCCACACTTCCTTCACCCCCAACACCTCCCCACAGCCCTACGGCACCTTCCCCTGTAACCGGTGAAGGTGCAACACCTGCGCATTTACCTCCTCCCTCCCCAGAATCCAAGGGCCCAAAAATACCTTTCAACACTTCACCTGCACTTCCAAGAATCTAGTCTACTGCATTCACTGCTCACAATGTGGTCTCCTCTACAATGGGGAAATGAAGTGTAGACTTGGTGACCACTTCGCAGAACATCTATGTTCTGCTCGCAAAAAAGACCCTGAACTACCTGTTGCCTGCCACTTCAATGCACCAGCCTGCTCCCTGGCCAACATCTCTGTCTCCGGCTTGCTACAGTGTTCCAGCGAAGCCCAACGAAAGCTGGAGGAACAACACCTCATTTTCCAGTTGGGGACCCTACAGCCCTCCGGACTCAATATTGAGTTCAATAATTTTAGGGCCTAAACTCTCCCATGTCCCAGCCCCCCACCCCACACACCAGGCCTTGTTACCACATAGCCTGCCATTACACACACCCTGTTGTTAGTCACTAACAGTCCCCATTAACAACTATTCACCCTCCCAGCCTGATTGTTAGCAACTCCTTTGTCTGTCCAACTGTCTTTCTCTCTCTTTGGGCTCTATCCTATCGTTTACTCCCTACCCCACCCACCTCCCTATTTTCTGCATATAAACTGACGTTTTCCCAGCCACTATCAGTTCTGAGGAAGGGTCACCGGACCCGAAACGTTAACTCTGTTTTCTCCTCCACAGATGCTGCCAGACCTGCTGAGCTTTTCCAGCAACTTTGTTTTTATTCATGTAATTTTCTTTGTTTGCCAGTTATAAAAATATTGAAAATCGGTGGGGGTTGGGGGGAATGTATTGTTTTATTGGCAGTCAAGCATGACCCTAATGAGTAAGTTCCTTTCGTTTCCAATATGCTTAGGTAGCTAGTGTGTCACAAGCATGAATGTCTTGCGCAATTAACGATTGGAGCATGGGCTCAAGGAATGTGAGGAAATCCCCAGGAAAATATTTAATCACTGTTGGCAACCCTAGCTTCGCTTGTGGCTTTTCAAATGTGAGATTATTTTTCTCAGTAAAGTCCTCACCACAATTCGTCAGGTTTTACACCATATTCCCAAGGTACTCCTACATTGAAAGTTTTGAAATTAAAAGAAAAATAATTAATATGAAAGGGTAAATGTCATTTTGATGACTGTTGTCATCTGAAGATAGATATGCTTTAGTCCCTGAAACAGTTGGATAGGTGTGTAGTTGCTGCCTTGAACTGAGGTACATCGGCTGGGCGACCAGGTCGCCCTGCTCTGGACTCTGGCCCAGGAGGTCAACAGCGCCCCCCACCGCAGAAATTTGGCACTGACCGCAGGAGTTTGAATTCAAGTCCCGGCGATGGACGGATGGGCGGTGCTTAGTAGTTTAGTACAGATGTTGTGATCAGGTTTCGAAATAAGATTCAAGTTAGGCAATAGAACTCCCGCATGTTTTTGTCTCGTAGTGCAACTCAAACTGAAAAGAAAATGAGACGGCAAAGGTTTGCGTGGGGGTTTGACTGGTGTGATTTTTGGATGCACTTGCTTCTGTGCTGTGTATTCAGGACGGTGACACTGTACAATCTGGATACGGAAAACCCTGTCCTAGTTAAAGGACCTGAAGGCACACTGTTTGGCTATTCGGTACTATTACACAGCTACAAAGACGAAAAGTGGTAAGTTTTAGTTCAGTTTAGTTTTAGTCGAAGCAGGTCATATCACATTCTTCTACTTTAATTTGTACGTGGCAAGCTTAAAAAAAAGCACAATACTAAACTTCTTTAAAACAGTGCCAACGGCATTACTTTTGGAAATTATCCAACTAAAATCAATAAAATTTTGATGAAAAGTCCGTGTTTAGAATGGTTAAAATGGGGTTGGTTTCTTTCAGGTATATCCCAGATTGTGATGTGTTTTATGTGTCAGAAGTTTTGAAACCACTCAGTGATTTTTGCCAGTATCACAAGCAGAGACTGTTCTAGCTAATGTTTTCTTTTAATCTGGTTATAAATTATTATTCCTTTTGCTACCACAGGTTTGTTGTTGGTGCTCCGAAAGCAAATGCATCATTTGATGGTACAGTAAACCCTGGAATTATTTACAAATGCCGAATCGACCACAATGCTAATCAAACTTGCGAAGAACTACATTTAGGTTAGTTGCAGTGACCGCATTGTTCAGTTTCTGTATGAATTGTAAAAGTAAAAGGAAAACCTTACAGTTTTTTGATGGTCAGAGACTGGATATGTTGAAGAAAAAGTTCTGTCCCTTTGAAAGCCCAAGAATTCTGTAGCAATAAACCAATTGAATTTCTGGATAACTTGTCCTTTTGTGCTGCAGTGATGTTGTCCCTACTTCTTTGAAAATATCTACAACTGATCCCTCCCAAATCTGACCTGATCCATCTCATTCACCCAACTTCCCCAATCCATCTAAACCATCTCAGCTTTCCTCCCCTAGTGAATCAGCTCTACTTAACTGCCTCCATTTGCCATAACCTGTCTCACTACCCCCTCAACCACCAAACCAAAAGAAAATAATCTTTACACCAGCTTGTCCAATCTTTCCTGCCCATAAGAGGTATTAGACTGGTAAACCTTCTCTGAACTGATCCCATTTATTTACATTTACATTCTTCCTTCACTAAAGAGACCAATACTGTACATTGTATCCAGATGCAATTTCATGAGTGCTCCTGTACAACTGATACACAATCTTTCTAATCCATTACCCTCACAAGAAGCAAGAACATGCTGTAAGCTTTACAAATAATGTGCTATACCTGCATGTTACCCTTTTTCAGTTAACACACTGGAACCCGCAGATCATTTTGCATCTCCAAGCTCTATCATCTCTCACTAATCTCAACAGTGTTGTGTAGAGCACCAGCTTTTTGTCTCCACCCCCACTTAATTAATATTTATTTCCACAATTCATGGTTTTTGTTGGCTTTGATAGGGTACATTGCAGAGTGGTGAGGATCAATATTCTTTTTGAGATTCTGAATGATTGACCTGATTTGAATAGAACTTTCTTTCTGAATTTATTGATCCCTCCAATGACCCTGCAGTATTCTGGCTACCTATTTTAGCCAGGTAAAGGTGCACCAATATTAAGTACTTTGTTTGTGTGGTGGAGGTTGAAGACAATAGTGTAGGAACCTAAAGTTAGTTTGAGTTGAGGAATTTGGATTGAATTTTCATTTACAAAAAGAAAAGGTAACAGAGATAATAATGGTACTTGAGAGTGAACAAACTGCTTCTAATGATGACGATTCCTACCAAGAGTATTTAATTGTTGTGCAAATGGCAGATGTCCTAGTCATACATTTTCCAATTTGGTGCATTGTACCTTTGGATTGTAAAATTTTAAACAGTGAGCAAAAACAGGCAATTACAGAATTTCCATTTTAACATCTGTTTTGGTCAAAACTGGATCCCGACAATCAAAGATACTGACTGAGTACTTGGACAAGTAGAATCTGGTCATGGAGAATCAGTACGGATTTATGAAGGATTACACTTGTTGACCAATATACTTTGAATTTCTTAAAAATGTTATGAGCAAAGTGGATAGGAGGAAAATTCATGGATGTTATCCTTATGGGCTTCCAGAAAGTATTTGATGAGGCTCCATATGAAATTATTTGTTTAAATAACAGCTGATGAGAAATTCTCTTGTGATTCAACTTCATAATTGGTGGGAAAATAGGATGTACTTGAGTAAACTCCTTAGATACTGAGGCAGTCCATGTCCAAATGCAGCAAAAATTGGGCAACATCCAGGTTTGGGTTGATAAATGGCAGGCAACATTCACACCAGGACCCGAAAGGTTAACTCTGATTTTTTCTTCACAGATGCTGCCAGACCTGGTGAGCTTTTCCAGAAACTTCTGTTTTTGTTCCTGATTTACAGCATCCTCAGTTCTTTCAGTTTTTTCCTGTAGCTATGAAAGATTGTTTGAGGCTGGGAATTCTGTGACAAGTTACTGACCTCCTGACTCCCCAGGTGTCTGTCCATGAGCTACAGGACACAAGTCCCAAAGTGTAATTACATACTATCCACCCACTTGGATAAGTGCAGCTCCAAAAGCGTATACGAAAGAACAAAAAGCAGTAGTACAGGAACTGGCCCTTTGGCCCAGTAAGCCTGCGCTGACACATGACGCCTTTCTAAACTAAAAAGCTTTTGCCTCCAAAAGATCCGTATCCCTCTATTCCCTGCCTATTCATGTATCTGTCAAAATGCATCTTAAACATTGTTCTATCTGCTTCTACTACTTTCTCTGGTAGTGCGTTCCAGGAACTCACCACTCTCTGTGTTAAAAAAAGACTTATCTCTCACATCTCTTTTTAAACTTTCCTCCTTTTACCTTTAAACTTATGTCCCCTAGTAATTGACATTTCTACCCTGGGAAAAAGACTTTGATTATCCATGCTTCTCATAATTTTGTAAATTCTTATCAAGTCACCCCTCATCCTTTGTTCAGGTGAAAACAAGTCAAGTTTATCCAGTCCCTCCCAAAAGCTAATACCCTCCAAACAAGACATCATTCTGGTAAACCTTTTTGTAGCCTTTCCAAAGCCTCCACATCCTTCTAGTACTGTGGAGATCAAAACTGTACACAATATTCCAAATGTGTCCTATCTAAAAAGTTCTGTAGACCTGCAACGTGCCATTTTTTATACTCTATGCTCTGACCAACAAAGGTAAGCATGTGCCCATCTTGGCCACCAAAATCTCTTGTGTTGCCACTTTCAGGGAATTGTGGACCTGTACACCTTGATCCCTTTGTACCTTAATGCTTCTAAGGGTTCTGCCATTTACTGTTCACTTCCTCCGGCATTAGATCTTCTGAAATGCATCACCTCGCATTTGTCCAGATTAAACTCCATCTGCCATTTCTCCACGCAGGTCTCCAGCCTATCTATATCCTGCTGTGTCTTCTGGTGCATCCTCTTCACAATCCACAGCTCCCCCCCCCCACCCCGATCTTCGTGTCATCTTAACAACAGGGGTCCCAGTAGAGAACACTGTGGAACACCACTGGTCACAGATCTCCTGTCAGATAAACACACTTTCACCGCTACTGTCTGTTGTCTATGACCAAGCCAGTTCTGTATCCATCTTACTAGCTCACCACAGATGCCATGTGACTTCACCTTTTGTATCAGCCTACTATGAAGGACCACGTCAAAGGCATTGCTAAACTCCATATAGACAACATCCATTGCTCATCAGTCATCTTTGCCAGTTCCTCAAAAATTTCAATCAAGTCTGTCACAGATGACCTCCCCCCAGCACTGCATAAAGCCATGCTGCCTACTGCTAATACTTCCATATTTTTCCAAATGTGAGTAGATTCCGATCCTAAATTACATTTGACAAACGCTGCACAACGTTGACTGACACATCATCCACCACCTTGGGCATTCATTGCTTCCATCACTGGAGAGTGACAGTGGTGCGCATTGTCTATAAGAGATGCACATTAGCAACTCACCAAAGCTGCTTTGACAGGCCCATCTCAACCCTGACCTCCACAGATTGGAAGAACAAGAGCAGGAGATGTATGGGAACACCACTGTCATCCTGTGTTGGAATTATATTGGCATTCCTTCACTATTGCTGAGTCAGAATCCTGGAACCCCTTTCCCCATAGCGCTATGGGCATACAGCACATGGACCACAGTAGTTCAAGAAGACAGCTCACCACTGCCTTCACATGGGTAATAAACACTGGCCTCACCAGTAATCCCCAAATCGTCTGAAAGAATTTATTTGGAAAAAAAGGTATGAGTGGACAAAATTCCAAAGTGTGAAAATTCCACTTGGATCCAAGAAAGACCATTCTGGAGTAAGTAGCTGTGAAGAAGTATGAAGTTTGTAAATTGTAAATCCTAAGTGTAACATACTAATCTTTGTGAGCAGGCTTTTTGTTTGCTGTTATTTATGTGTTATTTATACAAAATTAGGTGTGGTAGAACTTAAACTAAAATAATATTTTTAAACTGATTTAATAATAGAAACATTAGAATAGAAAGGGAAGCCCCTCCAAATGTCTGAAAAAAGATTTTCTCTTTGTGTTGAATTGGGCCACAGATGACTCTCAGTTGTGTTGTCTGGCACCTTATTTACCACTCAATGCTGGAAATTAAAAATGCCCAATTAAGTTGAGGTCACCTTGAATAAAAGAAAATAATTCATTGAAGACTTGCTTGCCTTAAGTCCTTGCATATAAAATTACTGTTGGCTATATTTTAAAGTGTGATCAAGCTTGCATCCAAAATGCACTGATTGTCTTTGCAGACTCACTAAATCTGCACCAGAAATTCTACTTTTGCAGTAAAGAGACTAGTTTCATTTATACAAATATAATGAAATATAATGCAAATATGCCATCTTTATGGTTCTAAGAGGCAACAGGTTTATTTATTCAGAGCATTTAACACCATGACCTGTTCAAAGGTACTTCACACGAGTGGCATAAAACAAGATACAACATCAAACGTTGTAAGGGGGTAATAGGTCAGTTGGCCAAAGACTTGTTCAAATGGCTGGATTTAGGAAGTATCTCGAAGGAGGAAAGCAAAGTTTAGTGAGAATTCCCAAGCTTGGGGCCGAGGCAACAGACTGACTAGAAAGCAGTGGTGAAAAAAATTAATTAAACAGGGTCTGCAGAATTAGATGAGTCCAGATGCTTCAGGAGGTGATGGGATTGGTGCAGATTAGAAAGAGGGAGGATGAGGCCATGGAGGGACTTGTAAATGTGATTGAGAATTTTAAAATCAAGATATTACTTGAACGGGTTCAATCTAACTAAGTTCAGTCAGTGAGCATATGGATACGAAGTGAAAGGGATTGGATGCTAGCTTAAAAAAATGAGTCAGCAACATTCTGATGCCCTTAAGTTTAAGGAGGATAGAATGTGGGAGACTTGTCAGGAGTGAATTGTAATAATCAGCATTGAAGGAATGAATGAGGGCTTCGGAGGCAGATGAGCTGAGACAGCATGAAAAACAATGTTATAAATTGGAAATGGATGTTCTTGATGTTGAAGTCACACATGGGTAGAAACACATCCTGAGGTCATATATGACCTCAAGATTCAGAACAGACTGGCTTTATTTCACACTGTTACCATGGAGTGGGAT